TGGTCGATTACGTTTGGAGAATGATTAACACCCCCACAATGCCCAAAATTGGTACTTATTAATTATAAATTGTCTCTATTATTAGAAATTTAAAAATTCGAAGATATATATTTAATTTATAATCTTGTTATTTTACATTTATTACTATAATTAAAAAATCTATTAATATATAAATAAGATATTTATTTATTTAGAAATATCAGAAAAGGGTTTCTAGGTGCTTTAAGACAACTCTTTTCTTAATATAAAATAAATAAATAAAAATTAATAAAACATTTATATATAAAAAATAGATTTATATATAATTTATAAAAGTAAAATATTTATTTTTATTTAAAAATATTAGAAAATGGACATCCAGTTGCTTTAAGATTGCCCTTTCTTAATATTGATAAATATATATATTAAAATATGATTATTTTTTAATAAAATAATTTAAATAAAACAATAGGTATTTTCTGATTTTTATAAGTAAGATATTTATTCATTTAAAATACCAAAATAGAACATCTAGTTGCTTTAAGACTGTCCTTTTATTTGATATTAAAAATAAATATTATATATATATATATATATATATATATATATTTATAAGACTAAGATAAAAATAATAATAAAATAATAACTAAAGCAATAATTAAAATATAAAAGTAATAATGAAATATAATGAAAGTATTAAAAACAAAATAAAATTGCAATAATGATCAAAATAAAAAGAATTAAAAAGCTATAAGATTAAAATATAAAAGTAATAAAACTTAGGATCAAAATGAAAAATTATGAAAAATCAGTGACTAAATTATAAAATATAAAAATTAATAGACATAATTAATAATATTATGTAATATAGGTATGAACAACGTGATTTAACCTAAATGTTAATACAGTATTAAAATAAATATTGATTAAATGACAAGGGACTAAATCAGTTATTTACCCTAAATATATAAGCTTATACTGGACAGGACTAAAATAAAATAAAATAAAATTCGGAGATCAAATTTAAAAGTTTAAAATTCGATTTTAGTGACTAAAATGGAATGTTACAAAACTTGAAGGGTTGCGGACGGGGTTTATCATTAGAGAAATTACACACATACCCCTCCCCAAAACGACGTCGTTTGGGAAGGGGTATATAAACCCAACAGCCAGCCTTTATGGGTTATTTTTTTTCATTTCTTTCCTCTCTTTCTTTCTCTGAGAGAGAAAACTCTCTCTGTTCTCTCTAGACTCTCTCTCCGGAGAGAGAGTCGACCATCGGCCGGCAGCCATGATCCGTTGCCAAGCACCGCCGCCGACCACCGTGAACGGTGGCCGGAATTTACAAAACCATACCAAATCAAAGCTCTTTTAACCCTAAAGCCAAATCTGGTATCCTTTTCTCCTAAAACCCCATAGTATTTTCTAGATCTAAAGATAATACCTTCGATATTTTAACGTTCGACGACGTTTTGGAGGGCTCCGATGGTCGTGGTAAGTTTCTCTCCTCTCTCGGTTTATTTTTCGTTGTTGGTTTGTTGTTGGTGTTGGTTCTCGGTTTTGTGTTGTTCTTGCTATCTGTCTTTGGTTGTTGGTTCGTTCTTCCCTCTGTTCTTTTTTTTCCCCTCTCATTGTTTGCAGGTGAGCCGAGACTTTATAGTTTCAATGGGGCTCTCGTCGGACCAGTCCCATGGGTGCAATCTCGGTGAGTCATCGAGCTATGTGGTGACTCACCCCATAGCTGCGACTTGTGGGGGGCTGGAAGCATCTGGAGGCGGCTGTTGGACCACCTGGCAGAGACGTGGCGTCGGTAGCGTGAGAAGTGGGGCGACTAGAAGCATCTGGAGGCAGCTGGGAGTTGAACAGTTGGCTGGGGCGGCTGGAAACTTGTCATCCTTCCCCAGCGGTGGCGTGGATCTGAGATGACATAAACCCTAATTGGGTTTAGGGTTAGTTTTGAGTCTGGACCGGATTAGGCTTGTAAATTGGGCCGGTCTGGTTTTGGGCCTGTAATGTAAATAATAAAATTTATTTTAATAATAATAATAATAATAATAATATAATAGTAATAAACAAATAAAATAATAATAATAAAAAACAAAAACAAAATGAAAAAAACTAGTGTCTTCAATCATTAATACCATTTGATAGCTTCTGATTACATAAATATATTAAATATATTTATAACTTTATGTGTTCATTATACTTATTAATTTTGCTTGTAATCGTATAGATGTGTTACTATTAATTGTATAAAAACACTTTTTTTTTATTCAAACGTAATCTAAAATGAAAAGAAAATATTTATTTATAAATAAGAAACAATGTAGAATTGCTTAGGTGACTTCTATAAAATTTGGTTAAAAATAATTATATTATTAATTAAGATAAAAATAATCATACAATTAAATTTTTTAAAACCTAAACTAAATTCCAATTGATCATCCTAGATCATTCCAACCTTAAATCCTTAATGACTACTAGAAACAATCTTAGCTCTAAACTCACATCAATCGCCCAAATCATCATTGATCTCATCGTCATTATCCCGGTGCTAAAACTCTTACAAACTACTCTAAACTTTAAACTGCAACCTCTCATCGACCCTACCATCGAAAACCCAAAATTCTTCTTGAAAGAACGTAAACCCTGAAGATTTTAGGTTATAGTACATTTATATCTCTGGTTGTAGATACCAACAGTTAAATCACAGCCCATTTAGTAGAGAGTAACATATCTCGATTGTTATTCAATCGGACGGTGAAAGGGGTACAAATCGAAATTATTTGGTTCAAACTTTAATTTAGTTTTCGTGGCTTTGGATTGATTTCACATAGATATAAACCAAAGAATTGAAAAGGAAGAGGAAAAGCTTTTATTTAACACTGGTCTCGATGCGAATGGTGACCAAAGCATGATGATGTTTGACAGTGATGGTATCAATACTAGATTTGTGGAGTTTAGATTGTTTTTCAATTAAATGAATAATAGATTTGTGTTTAGAAGGGTGAGACGAGTCTGATGAGATATTTTGAGATTCATCAACCTTTGGTAGAAGTGATCGACAGTGGCCATAATGGCAGCCAACACGGTGGTTGATTCTAAGTTGGTTTAAGTTAAGAGAGAAAAAAGAAAGGAGGAAGGAGAAGAAGAAGAAGAAATGATAGAAAAATAATTTTTATTAGAAATTAAAACGATGTCATTTTGAATTAAAATCGATTTTATGCATGAATCCAAAGTGACACCATTTTGATGTAGTTGGTAATGTCATGACTTCATTAATTATTTAACGGTGGAGTGATCAAAGTAGGAACAATTCAAAATTTTAGTGATTAAACTAAAAATTCTTAACCATTAGTGATAAAAATATAAGGGAAAAGATAGTTGAGGGATGAAATTTGTGTTTTACTCTATATGTTTACGTTTTCCATGAAACCGCACCAGCTAAATTAGGGCGTCCTTTAAACGCTGCTTCGAATCTATTTCACTCTCTCGTTCGCAAAGGTAACTTTTTCCACTCATTCGTTATCCGTACAAATTTTTCTTTAATTTATGCCTTTCAAATTGTTTCTTGTTTCTCTTTAATTTTGCCAATTCGAAATCTTAGAAGCTTCAGATTGGGTTGATATCTTTCAGCGAATTGAATTTCCGGTGATCCATCAGCGATTGAGGCACGAATATCTCAGCCACAGGAGACCTCCAAAACCTAGAAGTTGAACCCTAGATAACTACAGTTGAAGTAACTACTTCAACCTTTTGGGTAATGCCCTATCATTTGATTTCGCTTTCTTTTGCTCATTTGAAATCCTATGTATTCCAGTAAGTGATAATTTTCCTAGGGAAGCACTAGACGTTTCTTGATTGCATTTTCCTTGTTTCTTTGTTTAAATTCATTGCTTTGGTTTCTTTCATATATTTAATTCATTTGGTGATTTTGACTTTCTCTGCTTTATTTCATTTTAAGTGGTCACCTTCCTGTAAATTTTCTTGAATTGAATTTCTTAATGCCAAATACCAGTATGCGCATTATTTGGATTTTATTCGTTTTAACCGTATTTAGGAGTTTATATTCAAAATTAGATGTATCTAAGGACCTGGGCTCTCTCCGCTCCCGCCCTAACTCGGGCATGCCTGGGCATTGACTTTTAGACCTTTTATTGTATGATTAAACTATGTTCATCAATTTAAAGTATCTTCTTTCTCACTGTTAAATTTTGAAATATTATTGGTTTTTGACAAATGAGATTTGTATTCATTAGCATATTCGCGTTCTACAAAGGGAACTTGCTGAATTGATCAGCAAGCTACGCATAAGTTCATAACATCAATAAAAAGACAATAAGAACAAAGAATAGCTATACAGGTATCTTATCATCTTCCCCCCAGTTCTTAAGGAGCATTTTATTAACAATGCCTCCCTGGATCCATTGAAGCCCATCTGCTCTATTCTACATTTGACTGTGTCCCTAATCTGGTTAAGGATAGAAGAGATGGTGAGGGCTCTTCATTGCAGTCTACCTTCCAGATAAACTAGATGTAAGCATATTAAATTAACATTGTTTTGTTTTAATAATGAAATAATAGTTAAATTGGTGGACTGGAATTGGGCAGGCTTGATTGCTATTGCCCAGGTATGCCATTTCGATCTAGAATCTCAGTTGTTTCTTTTTCTTCTTTTTTTCCGGTCTTGATTAGAATTAGCAATCGTTGGCAATATTGCATCTTTGTTGTTCTATTCATTTCCACATGCATCTGCTTGAATTTCTGAAACATGCATATTTTTATTCCGGACCTGTAAAACATGTTTGTTCTTCTCTATACTCTAACATTAAACCTTAGCCAAAGGCCCAAAACCCTGCTGCTCATCTTAATTTTTAAATCCCTACTCTAGCACCTACCTGTAAAATTATAGAGTGGAACCCTTATATCTCCCTAACTGTTGATATCTTTTTACCATCTAGTGGTCTTTCTCTTTCTACCATGTGATTTATGTGCATTACCTTTGCAATGGTTTGTCAGATAGAATGAAGCAATCGAAGGATCCATTTGAAGCAGCATTGGAGGAGCAAGAGGAATCGCCACCTGATTCCCCAGTTGGTGAGGATGAGTTGAACAGCCAAGCTCCAAATGAAACCCAGAATCAAACCGACGGTGGACAGAATATTCTTGTAGATGATGATGATTATGATGACATCGGTTCCAACAGCAAAAATCCCTCTCATCCATCATCGAGTTTAACTCCTAAGTTGCACTCCACAAGTATTAATGCTAATGTCGCTGCTGCAGTCACCAACAAGAACAAAGAATATGATGATGACGAAGAAGAGGAAAATGTGGAGGTTGAGCTTAGTAAGTTCCCTTCTAGTGCTGACCCTGCTAAAATGGCCAAGATGCAGTGAGTTCTTCTACTCCCTTTTTCTCTTTCCATATTCCTGTTCTGTTTTTCAAATACTATGTATCAGTTGAACAGCCATGTTTTCTAGTGTTTTAAATGACTATGTATAACTATTTCAAAATTGAAGATCTTTTCCTTCATACTTCTATTGCCTTTCTCCAATATAGGGAAGCATCTGTCTAAAACTGTTAAATCTTTTCTTCTTTTCAGAACTATTTTATCACAATTCACAGAGGATCAGATGAGTAGATATGAATCATTTAGGAGATCTGCACTTCAAAAGTCTAACATGAGAAGGGTAGGCTTCTTGGCAAAGCTTTTTTGGGTGGCTTTCTCTAGAATTATTAGTAGTAGTTTTCTGTTTTTTTGGTGGTCTTTCTCAAGAATTTTCTTTTATTATCATATAATGATGTGTCAATAATTATTTGTTGTATCTTTACATGCTCTAAATTTTGTTCTTACATTATGCTTCTTTTAAAAGATAAAGGTGATATATTAAACTGCCTATATTTCAATTTTTATTTTTTAACATTTCATTTACAAGGTAGTGATTATTAGCTGAAATTTTTTCCTGTCATTGATGAATGGACATGAGATTCCTTACATCATATGTACTGGAGCTAGCTTTAAGTCCACGGCTCAATTATTTGTTTCAATATCGCAAAACACGATTTGAATGATACATTGACTTAAGGTTTGTTCTTGGTGAATGCAGTTGTTGGTAAGCATAACTGGCAGCCAGAAAATTTCTTTACCAATGACCATTGTCGTGTGTGGGATAGCAAAAATGTTTGTTGGTGAACTTGTTGAGAAAGGTACATGCACTTTTCTCCGGTCGTAGTTAAATCTTCTTGGTAAATGCAGTTGTTGGTAAAGCATAACTGGCAGCCGGAAAATTTCTTCACCAATTACCATTGGTGGTTTGCAGCTAGAATGGTCATGACAGAAAGAAAAGAATCTGGCCCAATCAGGCCTTGCCACATCCGAGAAGCTTATAGAAGATTGAAGTTTGAGGGCAAAGTGCCTAAGAGATCAGTGCAAAGGCTGTTTCGCTAAGAGGATCAACAAACAAGCTTGTTCATCATTTATCAGGTGTTTTTTACTATCAACATGGTTTGCGTATCTGACAACACCTGGTAAACTAATTACTTTCCAACGTTTTGTTACCATCCATCGTGCTTCCTTTTCAATGTTGTGGTAGTTAGATGCCTGTAGGCCATGAATCCGTTGGCGGGTGTTATGCTGAGGGTCTTTGCTCAGCTACAAGATCTTGAATACAACAGAGAAACTTTGAGAAAAGTGATGGCTCTTCTATCTGATTTCATTCAGCAAGTTTCGACAATCGAAACTTATCGATATTACCGTTGCTTATAGTTTTGATTCAATGCATTGCATGATGATGTTTTCAGGAGGCTCTCCATACTTGGGATGAATCATCCGTTAACATGTATTGATGGAAGAAGCCTATCATTCCCTAACACGAGCCGTTGGATATTAACATGCTAGTTTTAATATTATAGGAGATTGAATTTCGTTTCTATCCCAAATTTCCATTGTCATGCTAGATCATTCCATTTCAAAATTTACTGCACTTCATCTCCTACGACTATCACATACATGGCTTGCTCTGCTATAAATTTTATGACCATTAGCACAAATTTGTTCTTCTTTTTCACCCAGAAAGCGCTTTAGATAAAGTCGTGTTCATTTGATTATGATTATTTTTCTGAACAATCTTAAATTTTTATATAAAAAACACTTTTTCCCGTCAGCATAGTTCTTTAATGTCAGAAACATGAAATCTGTGGGAAGGTACAGAAACTGGCAAACAAAATTCCAAACTACAACTAATGGATTCCCTCTGCTTGTTTTAAAGGATTAATATGAATCAGATGTTTCTGAAAAGGAATAATTGCATGTATTTAGCAATTATAACTTGGCATCAATGGAAACTTATTGCCCCACATGACAAAGATTCCTGCCTTTTTATGTTATGTTCAGTGCTCAAACTCTTGTGATTTCTGACACTGACCAAACCAACAACACATAGTTGGTGGATGGAGACGTCAAAGATAGATACTTCTGGTCAACCTTTCCACTGTTCCTTACTTCATTCACAGAAATGAGAAAAAGTTGTCTAGAATGAGATAATCTCGGTTTAACTATGGTTTTAGTGATTTTATTATGTTGAAATTTGGGATTTGATCTTATTTTATTTTGGTAATATTATTGGTAGATTCACACTATTAGTTGCTAGCATTAAAATGGTATACAAAATTCACATAAACACTCTCATGAATAGTTAAATTTTTACATGACTTTGATATTACCATTTTAATGATAAAAAATAATTATTATTTTTTATCAATCTGGATATATTAATAAGATTATAAAATAATATCTCAACTGCCAACGTACTTGAAGGAATTGAAACCATGCTTAAATACCCATTTGCTTGTTTCTCTAATTTTCTTGGTCTCAACTCAAAATGCAAATCTCTTGTTTCACCTCATAATGACACACTTAGCATTATGAAAGGCTATGAATGAATATTGTTAATTAGCACAGAAGCAACATAAAGAAAATGAGAGGGGTTTGGGGTTACATCAATGGAGTAAAACATTAGGTTTGGTCCCCTCATTGTTTTGCAGGCTGTTACATCAATCACCTGGACTACAACATTTGGTTTGGTCCTCTCATTTTTCTGGTTTGAAAAAGCTTAGGTTCTTCCCTCGTCAGCAGGTAACTGGCCGTTTTCAATGTTATTTGACAACTCTGGTAGGCAATGTCTATCCCATGTAACCGGATCCTCCACTTACACTTGATGTCTGCGAATCCCACTTCAACATTCTAATACATTTACATTTGCAATTCAAATATGGATGTGAAAGATGATTTGAGTCGGTGCGTTGAAAATGTTAATTGGGACAAACACGTGGAACATTATACTAATTATCTAATAATACATTGTTTTTGTTGGGAATGAAACCAATTATTAGAAATTTTGTTTAAAAATTCTAAGTTTGAATAACTACGTCTGCAATATATTATCAATAAATTAAAAATAATTACGAACTAATATTATATTATAATCATTTCATGTTAATATTATCTAGCTTAGGAATCGAATATGTGGATATCCAAGAGTCCTGAGTTTTCCTCCTCACAGCTAGTCTATTACACGTACTACATAAATATAGTTGAATTTCTTTGTTATGAATTCCAAGGGTTATATATTGAATCACCTATAAATCTAAATTTATATAAACTAATAATTAATGCTCAAATTCATTTAAAATAAATATGTTTTTAATTTTATAATTTTGAATCGAATTTAAATATTCAAATTATGAGTTACCATCCCTACTTATGAACTATATTCAGTTTTCTATTTTAGTACTTATTTTTTTGTCCGACTTTAACATTAAACTATTATTTTTATTCTATTTTATCTTAAATATTAATTGTTAATAAAAGCGTGACATATACCATATTTTTTCCGGTGACTTTTTCTTAATCATAAATAGTAACTGCTAATAAAAGAAGTGAGCATAGTCTATGGTTCTTTCATAATTATAAAAAGAAAGTTTTAAGATAATAATCAGAACATTAAATATTTTTATTTATAATAACAGTGAAAAAAGAAACAGACAACAACAATGACTGGTATTTATAAAAAACTAAAAAGTTGAAGAAACAGAGTCCTAAGATACAAAGGAGGGAATCATGCAGGTAAAATTCATGCCTCCCATGTCCAAAATGGATACAAACTAAACATTTGCATGCACCTCCTCCTGTTGTTCTTCCAATTCAATGCCCTTCTCACTGGTGTCAAGGTTGATGCAAGTGTACCATCTGGCACAGAACACATATATTATAAAATCAACCGCGGCTAAACCGGCAATAAGGAAGTAGAACCGGTCCATGTGACCGGAGTTGAGGTCCTCGGGGATCCATCCGGGACTACCACCTCTCGTCGTGATCTCCATTACTATGTTAATCAACAGGCTGCTAACGAAGTTGCCAAGAGACATGGACGCCATGCAAAGGGAGCTTCCGAAACTTTTAATGCCATCCGGTGCTTGTGCATTGAAGAACTCCAATTGACCAACGTACATGAAAACTTCAGATGCACCTACTAAAACATATTGTGGTACTTGCCAAAATATGCTTAAAGAGCTTTTCTTCTCGCCCGGGGTCACGAATTTGAGCCTTTGTATCTCGGTGAAGCCTGCAGCAACCATCGCGATCATTCCGATGATGAGTCCGATCCCCATTCTTTGAAGCTCGGTTAATCCCTTGGGGTTATTACTTAATGTTCGAGCCAAGGGCACAACAATATGTCGGTACACCCCAGTCCAGATGAGAACGCTGCAAATGTCGAATGCCGACATGCTCGCAGCTGGAATGCGGAAGTCTCCAAGTTTGGACGCCATTACATCTCCTTGCTCCACGAAAAGGGATGCCATTTGCGTGAAGATGACAGAGTACATTATAGTACAAAGCCAAATTGGTAACATTTTTAGTACACATTTGGCTTCTTCAACCTGAGTTACAGTGCAGAGCCTCCATGGATTGTTTAGTGCACTCAAATCATTCGGAGTTATCGTAGCCGCCTTGTCGAGGAACCTGCAGATCGATTTTCAGCAGCTTAACAAAGCACCAATGATAAAGTAACATCATCACCAAGTGTAGAATGTCCATGATTGATCTTATACTTACTTGAAATCATCACTGTGAAGTATCTTTCTGCTACCTTTGATTGCGGATTCAGTTCCTTCGACCTCATACAAAGCATCGACAGTAGCCGGCGTGACACCCCACTTCCTATATGCAGCTACAAATACTTGAGCGACACGGGGCAACGGATTACCACTCTCTTTAATGTACCGATATCTTGGAGTCCCCAACAGATAGAACAACAGGGCTATGATTGCAGAGCCGAAAGAAACCAAGAAGCCTAGCGTCCATTTGCCCGAATTCTCATAGTAAACCAGTATAGTGTTTGAAAATAGAGAGCCAACATTAAGTGCAAAGTAGAAGTAACTAAAGAATGCAGCTTTCGAGTTTGCTCCTTTCTGATGCGAATCATCGAACTGGTCCGATCCAAATGTGGCTAAGGTCGGTTGATGCCCGCCGTACCCGAACGCTACGAGATATATCGATAAGTAAAACATAGCAGAGCCGAGTGGTGATGGGGTGTTGCAGAGTCTTATTCCATCACCACAATCAGCAGGATTTATCAAGAAAAGCCTTGAAGCAAGTGACAGTAGTGCCAAACCCTGTAACAACATTCCACAATCAGTATTACTGATATCAAGTGCATACATAAATGAAGAAGAACGAAGACGACTGTCCGGTACCAGCACGAGTATGAGCTGAAAGATGGCACATGTCAAGTAACGACCCCAATATGAATCGCTAAGGAACGCTCCAATCAGCGAGCATAGGTAGACGGTTCCGGTCCACTTGCTAACGTTATTGGCAGCGCTAGCGTTGTCTTGGTCGAGAACCCGGGTTAAGAACAACACCAAGTTCACCCCTACTCCAAAGAATGCTAATGTTGCTAGGCCTTGATTCACTGCAACCAAAAACAAAATTGAACATAGTGCAGAACAATTCCTCTACTATTATTACAAATGATTATGAAAGTATACACTCACACACATATATATAAAACTGAGAAATACCTAGCAAAAGACTTGCTAATTTCCATCCTCCTTTGTTCTCGTATTTATCCTTTCCATTTGTAATATTCTCATTTTCGTCCACATCTTCTACTTGTCTAGAGCTAATAATTTCTTCATAAGCCTGTCATTATACATAGTTAAATAAGATCATACTGGCTATAAGAAAAACATTATAAGGTGAATTATTAATTTATTTTAATTTGCTAACCATTCTCTCAATCTCAGTGGTAGAGTTCTCAACGGCAGCCATTGATAGTTTCTTCTGCAAAAAAATCTATGCCAAGGGAGAGTGAAAAAAAAACAGCTCCAAATACGTTAATAATGGATTAAAACAATTGCAGTAAAAGAAACTTACAAGGAGAAAATTTCTTATTAGGAAAAAAGAGATGAAAGAAGTGGGTGGTATGAGAAGAAAGTGAGGAAAGAGTCCAATATATATATATAGGAGAATGAACATATAGAGATTGAAATTTTTACTTTATTTCAGCTCAAAAGAAGAAGGAGAAGAAGAGTGTGCCACATATCAAGTCAAATCTTACATGAAAAATGGGCAGTGGGATTTTGTTTTGATTTGAAAGTGATACTCAATCACCGATATCGTATATATGTTCATACTATTTCGATAATCACTCTTGAATTTCACCCTTGGTGTTGTATGTATATGATCATATATTTTTCCTATATACTTGAATAATGTCATCACAAAGCATATGGAATAGTCATAAACTGTACATTCACATGTAAAACTAAATAAGCAAAATTTATTCATCCAATTCATTTCAAGCCAATACAATTTTGGCATGGGGGAAGGAGTCTTTGGCTAGGGTCACTACTAACCTTTTACGAAACGTGGTGATGGAGAAGATAACGTCTTCAGGGATTGTTAAAGACTCCGGCGACGGAGATGAACCGGTATTGAAGACAGAGAGAGGTAGAGTTGCACTCCACGAAGTAGGAAACAATGATCCGGTGAAGCCTATTGTCATTTATAGAGTTGCCACAGATGAGAGACTATTAAGCTCGCAACTGATCAGAATTTTACGTGTGAAGAAGATGAAGAAGCGACACTAACACGAATAAGTTTAAGCTTTTGCATGCTGAAATTGTTGGAGGCATATAAAAAAAGAGAGGATTCGGTTTAAATGTAACCAAATTTTCCTAAAATTACTCAGCCATTTACCTGCTCAGTGTTTACTGATTCACATTCTTCTTGCAAGTCAAACGTGTACACTTTGCCTTTTACTTACAGTAATTTTGATTTGTACATAATTTTAGGGGGTTTATTACCAAAATAATAATTTTAGGGAGTTAATATTTATAATTTTTTTATTTAAATAACCTGTATTTTTCAAATAAAAACTCTTTAAAAATTGGTTTCATTTATAATTTGTTTTAGTTAAAAACCATTGAACCAGAGGCAATTGTTTAGTTGAATAGGATCTAACTGAGAGGCTCAGTAAATAATTTAAGTTCAATAAAATATGATCAAGAGCCATTCACTCAGAATTTGTTTCAACTTAATTATCCTGTGTTAATATCAAGCGGTATTGTCCGAGTACAACAAGAACACAATTCGTTTCTAACCTATTATTTTCACTGGAAAATACATATTTTCCTGGGATTTTATCATTTTAAGTTAAATTTATGGTTTTAACTTAATCTTCTACTTTTTTTTTATAATTGTTGGTAACCCAATTCATCTCTCCAATTCAAAAACCTGCCATTTTCATTATCCTTCATCACCTCTTGCCTGTAGAGATTTGTTTTTGTTTTAAGACCAGTCTCTAATGATGGACGATGATTCGAGCATCATTTTGAACACTAAATGGACTGTTTTACCATCCGAAACCTCGGTTTCTGGCAACAGCAACTACAAGCATCGTCCCAGCAAACGTGCCCGGCACGATCACGGTGGGTCGTTACCGAGGTTTAAAGGTCTAGCCCCGCAGCAAAATGGGAATTGGGGTGCACAAATATACGCCAACCACCAGCGGATATGGCTCGGAACGTTCAAGTCCGAGAAAGAGGCCGCCCTAGCATACGACAGTGCAGCCATCAAGCTACGTTGCGCCGGCGACACCCAAAGGAACTTCCCCTGGACAGATCTCAACATCCAAGAACCGGCCTTTCAAAGCCTCTATTCGAACGAAGATGTACTGAACATGATCAGAGACGGTTCGTATCAAGCCAAGTTGGAAGATTTCGTCAAGATTTTGTCTAAAAAAGATGGGAAATCGACCACTAATCTTAACAAAAAGCTCGTGCATGGCAATACACAGTTTTCATGCACGCAACTTTTTCAAAAGGAATTAACGCCGAGCGATGTTGGCAAACTTAACCGGCTCGTGATCCCTAAAAAATACGCCGTTAAACACTTCCCTCAAATCTGCGAGACCGGTCGACAAAGCTTGGCCGGTGAGGTCGAAGACACCGAGCTTGTCTTCTACGACAAGTTGATGGCGACATGGAAATTTCGTTACTGCTACTGGAGGAGTAGCCAGAGCTTTGTGTTCACAAGGGGATGGAGCCGATTCGTGAAGGAGAAGAAACTGAGTGAGAAAGATACTGTAACGTTTTACGCATGCGAGCGCCCTGGAGGGGATCAAAATGGTAGAAATTTCTTCCTCATTGATGTGAATTACAATGGCGAGAAAGATACATTGGAAACATCGGCCGATGACGACTGTCTGGAGGATAATATGGAGTTGGAGTTGGAGCTGAATTTGGGGAAGAAGAGTTACTGTAAGATTAGTAGTGAAGATAAAACAGTAGAGAAGAAAAGTGTTACCCTTTTTGGAGTACAGATCAACTGATGAACATACATGTATCAATCTAACAAGTTAATAAATTAGAACAATAACAACCCTCCAAATTTTCATCTAAAAGTTTTTTTCCATCTTATTTCTGTTTCTGGTTTTTTTTCGTTACACTATCTCATTTATTTCATCCTTTTTAAATTAATCAAAATTCGATGAATGTATTAAAAATATTTGACATTGTAATATCAAACTTCAATGAAAAGTTAATTTTTAAATCAGATGGTATTCAAGATCAAACTTTTCGGAACATAACTAAAGGGATTAAATTTCAAATTCCAAATAATATAAGGACTATAGGTGAAATTATACCTTTTAGTTTAAAAGTAGCCCAGCAAGTAAAACTTTCGTGGCTCTCGGATTGTATCCAGTTGTCCAACTAAACAACACTGAAACTCCCAACTGCTTTCATCAATTTTATGCAAGGGATTGCTTTTGGGTTAGCTGACAAGGGTTGCCCCGCAGTTACTTTTGAATGAGAGGTGCCGGAAGGTCAACCGGAAAACCTTCTCTTCCAGCTTTTTTTCTTCCTGAAGTTGCCGTCTGCAATTGGGTTTCTCAAAATCTTTCTTTTCACAAGATCTTGTTGCTGGGTTCTTCTGCAGGTATGAAATAATCATCCTTTTTTTGGAAAATATATTGATTCTGATATGGAGAATTGTTCTTTGGTTTTGGGTAGTGATTAGATCTTTGTTAGATTTAGATTCCATTCGAGGGGTATAGAATTCTACATAATTTACTTAAGAAGAAAAAAAAGTTAATCTCTTTGTAACATTGAAGGGAAGTTAGTTGGAGAAATTCTATTTCGTATGAGTTAAGAGCTAATCCTGGAATTTGTGATCTAATTGTTTTGCTGAGTAGTGGTTCTAGATTTATGATCAATACTTTATGAATCTGGATAAATACACATCTACTACATGTTTAGATGATTATAGTAGATGCCCGAGGTGGAGTTACATTTATTTAGAAAATGATTTGTTGAAAACTTTCGTCATTTGTCCATGAGATAAATTGAAGTGTAAAGAGTATTATCAACACTAGCCTTATAAGGTGAGGACTGAGGAGTGGGGGCAGGGATGAGTTTCATTTCGGCTAGGAAGCCTAGATTTTTATGCTAGTTCTAGAACAAATTAGTGAATTTTGTTTTTCAACACTAGCCTTATTACAGGCTTTGTCAAAGGCAAGTTAGTCTGTACTTCGAGTTGCTTAAAATTACTTTTTGTTTAAGTCTTTTGACTAATGTTTTTCCTTCTGAAGTTATTGATGTGTTGTGGGTTTCCAAATATAATAAGAAATTTGGCATATCTATATTCTGTTAACCCTTAACTTTACATTGTTTAAGAAAGTAGAGCATTAAGGGGGAAAAAAGCTTCATATTTTTCTCCTTGGGTATTGCCACGTAGTTGTGGTTGGAAAACTATATCATTTCAAGTTTTCGATGCTAATGTTGTTTTCTAAATTTTGAGTTGTGTTCTTTATATCTGGTTAAAACTATATCTAACCAAAATATATAGACTATAGGATTGGCTCAATCCTTTTAGTAAAAGATTGGGCACTAAAAGGATTGAGCCGAGTTTAAGTGTAAGTCAGCTGAATCCTTTTAAGTCTGGGCTCTTTTGTGAACTAACAATAACTTAAACATTACATGTAAAGAATTGGCCTTGCAATCCCTTATAGCATCATATGCTTCGAGCAGTAGTAGGTTTATGCTGCACCAGATAGTTGATGTCATAACTAGAAATAATAAATCAAGGAAATGTGCTCATTGATGTTGTATTCCACAGGGAATGAGAGGTCCAGTTAAACTTGAGGTGTGGAAAATGGGCTTTGTCAATTACTTGGATGCACTTAAGCTGCAGGAGAAGCTGGTATCTGATAGAAAATTATGTAGAATTCCTGATACTCTCTTGTCCCTGCAACATCCACCAACATATACACTTGGAAAAAGGCGAACTGATCACAATCTGCTAATGCCTGCGTCTGAATTGAAAAATATAGGAGCTGAGCTTCATTATACGCAAAGGGGAGGAGACATTACATTTCATGGTCCCCGTCAAGCCATCCTATATCCTATTATTTCACTTCGTGAAATTGGGCTTGGGGTCAGGAATTATGTGGTGAAACTTGAGTCGACTATGATTGAATTGTCATCCTTGTATGGTGTGAAAGCTTGTGCTGGCCAAAAGGGTGAGACAGGAGTTTGGGTTGGAGAAAGAAAGATCGGTGCAATTGGTGTCCGGATATCACTTGGAATAACTCTCATGGGCTAGCATTCAACATTGATTCTGATTTAAAGTATTTTGAACATATTGTGCCTTGTGGAATTGCAGATAAAGAAGTTACATCCTTGAGTAGAGAGACATCTACCGTGCTTCCTTCTGAAGAAGTCATTCACGGGCAGTTAATTTCTTGTTTTGCAAGACTTTTTGGTTATAATACTATTGTATGGAAGGAGAATCCTTCAATATTGTCTGATCATGAAGAAATAGAGTGAATTGCAACTAATATTGTGTCAAATGATTCAATTATATAACCTTTGATTAAATCTTCTGGAAGAGAAATAATCAAATTTGCTGATTTCGTCATGTGGCTGTTTAGAGATCCTCATTGATGTTGGAGCCAGGATAAGTAGGAGATATTCTCAAAGTTGAATGATGTCCGCACTCTACGCTATCCTCCCATCCAGGTATAAAGTGGTTGACGTCTTTAATACCTCAAAACTTTTTGATAAATACACATCTACTACATGTGTAGATGATTATAGTAGATGCCCGAGGTGGAGTTACATTTGTTTTAGAAAATGATTTGTTGAGAACTTTCATCTTTTGTCCATGAGATAAATTGAAGGGTAAAGAGTATTATCAAACCTAGACTTATAAGGTGAGGACCGAGGAATGGGGACAGGGATGAGTTTCATTTTGGCTAGGAAGCCTATGTTTTTATGCTAGTTCTAGAACAAATTAGTGAATTTTGTTTTTCAACTATGCTCTTCTTTATACGTAAATGTGAGGGCTTGACTGGATTCTTACTAGAGGCTTTGTCAAAGGCAAACTAGTCTGTACTTTGAGTTGCTTAAAATTATTTTTTCTACAAGTTTTTTAACTAATGTTTTTCCTTTGGAAGTTATTGATGTATTGTGGGTTTCGTGCAGTGTTTGCTTTGAGGAAGCCATTTTCATTAATGATTGTGAGAAGCATAAGTGATTGGATCAGATACATATATATTGGTAGCATCTGTGTGATAATTAATTATGAAATTGAGTTTTTCTTATGCTTTATATGCATAAAAATTTATCATTATTATGTATTACAATGCTCTTATAGTTTTCTATTAGTTTATGCATGGATGGTTTTCAGTTCATCACCCATGAAATGAATCTGCTGAAAATAACTAGATTTGTTTTCTTTTGCATTGAATTGTCTTGCAGGTCAGAGGTAAATGGGTGCTCTTTTTTTATGGGGGGTACCTATTGCAGGTTATGCAGTAGATCAACTAAAGCGGATTGTGGGCTTTGTAAGTCTGGGGTACCCTTTTGGCGTGATGGCATCCTGCAGTCCCTGAAACCAAACTGTGTCATTGGTACTCAGGATGGATTTACGAGCGTGGATCAGCTCAATAACAAGCTGAAATCTGCAGCAGTACACACCTAGAAGCGTTTAATAAAAGGAGTTAGCCACTTTGAAATGGAAGGCCCTGATTATGATGCTGAGATGGTGAATTGTATCCTTTAATTTATTGCCTCATTGCAGGACAAGCAACCTATTCTTAGACTGGTTGCTTGAATTGCTCTGACATTTGTTGTTTCTGTGTATAATTTTTGTGCAACTTGCAGGAAATTAAACCTTTAGTTTCCCAATATTTGTAAACATCGGTCCCCACTGAACATGACTGAAACCAAATGAACAAGGATAGGTACAAAGATGATGATAAAAGCAAAACACAAGATGAAATAAATTTTTACAAGGTCAGGGATATATCATTCACTAACATTTAAGAAATTTATACAAAGCATTTTCCTAGTTGACACAAGTCAAGTTGAAGTTACAATGAACTAAATCCAATGAACTTTCTAACCAAAAAGATTTATGTACAATGAAAAGGGTAATAGCCTAGCTGATAGAAAAAAGTAGAGGATAAAACAAGATACAAAAGCTTCTGCAACCTCTACTGGATACATAAAGCTGGCTAAAATCCCATGTTTATGCCTTTAGATTCAATCATTCTCATCAAACTGCAGTTTTCTCCATGCCCTTGGTTGAACCATTGATTGTCCTTGTGAGAAATGGATGCTCACCATCTGCTTTTAAGCCAAACAAGTATATAAAAACTATGGCAACGCAAACTGTGTTTTGGACATCTATTGCAGAAAAATGGGTAAATAAATGTCAAGTTTCATTTTAATCTAATGAATTTAAGATGGCACAAGACGTTCTTCCTTCATAAGTAAAGCTATAAAACCTCTCAACTGCTTTGAGCTATATGCCCCATAAAATTAGGTAATGAAAATGTATGAGGTAACACAGCTTTGGACATGTCACAGCTCATTTTTCCCCAGAGTGGGTTTACATCTTGCTGTTGTTGAAGTTGCACGAACGGCAGCTAATTAACTAGTTAAATTACGAGGCAGGCTTAAGATAGAAGCTATGTTAAATATGCGGTGTAGTGTTCTTGTCTATTTGAAATTTGTATCATCGCATTCGTTCTTACGAATGAGGAAAAACAATAATTAATTGGAAATTTTTACACCTTTTCCACAGGTAAACCGAACATCCGAAAGCTACAATTAAATTGTACAATAGAAGATTGTTGCATCCTTATTTTAACCAAAATTATATAACTTATGAAATTAGTTATTACCACTTTCACCATCGGATGCACCTTCAAGTCTTGCAATTGCATCAAGTAGTGCTTGTTCATGCTCCTGCAATAATGACTACCCATTATGATTGCTGCAATAGCTGATATAGAACATTATAATATCATTAGAGGACAATACTTACGTTCAACACTTTCTTTGCTTTCTCAATCTCTATTGGATCGGGATGGTTTGCACCAAAGACTTTTTCCACCTAATCAAAATTTCCAAAATTAGAAAACAATTACACTACATTTTTTACATTCTCAGTATAGATTATCTTTGAGCAGCAATTATACCTCCTTTATTAAAGTATCTGTACGAAGTATCTCAATATCACCCAAAACCTTTTTCCCAACACCATTTTGGGCCAAAGGGAAACCCTTCTTGCCCTGACCCTTTATACTCCCCCTATCTCTGCCTGCTCCAACCACCCCACCACCATGTCCCATGGACTTCTTAATCCCAAGGCCTGGTCCAGGGCGACCACCTCTATTGGAAATTCCAGGATCATCACCTTCCCATCTAATATCTTCGGGAGATATCTACCATCATATATATATAACAATCAGTTGAGTGGACTTGATATTGCATTTGAGTGACCGAATAAGTGGATACATAAAATGCCATTCCATGTTTCTTAAATCTCATTAAGAGCCTCAAGTAGTGAAAGGAACTAAAAGATAACAAAAGACATCCTTGGAAGTAACAAAAATTTGAGAGGAGTTATTTAAAAGTTACCACTCCGCATGCAATATTACAAACTTAGAACAGTCATGCATAATGCCTAGGGATCATTGATACAACAGCACCGAAACATGAACCAGATTCTCTGAATATGATACAAAACACTTGATACATTTGACTGAGAATGATAATAATGAAACAAATTGTCAAGATGTGCGCAGATAGTTGATGGCATTGGCCATTACTAGGTAACACAACTTGAATTGAGTAATAAGTATGTCAACAACTAGGAAATATATCAAAATACATGCAATAGTATATCGACACCTTCATAATTTCATTATTTCCGAACCAAACTGCACCCAAATTCAAGAAAAACATATTAATCATTAACTGATAAGCTTCACAATGTAGTATAAGTTCGTAAAACTATATTATTTACACCATATCTCTTGAAACATATGGTTCAAGGCACAAGAATAGACATGCACATGAATTCTGCAATGCCTTATCAATGGCATAAAAGATTCAGGAAAACATATGCAGCAAGGATAAAAGTTGATTTTATTAAAATTTCTATGTAACATACTAGCTGAAGGTAAATGAGGTGACACAAAGAAATAATACATTGTATGAGATAGCATGAAAATGAAATAATCCTACCTCTTTGAGATTGACCCATTCCCAAGTTTCATCCGCTGTATTAATGTCATAAACCAAAGCATGCCGCCCCTATCAACATGGGAGTATAAAGCTCCATTAATTAAGAATATACTATATATACAACTACAAAATATACCTCAACCCGGTTATAGTCTGTTATAACAGCCTCATAAAAATGATTGTCTTCAGGCCACCTTGTCCAAACTTTCCTTCCAATTAATGGATCATATGTTGCTGCTTCAGCAGGTTCATTTGTTGTAAAGGCCCCAGAAAACATACAGTTAGAAGCCTGGGGTCTGCCAGGAAGTCCTGCAGAAGGGTACCGCGTCGACTTCATTGAGGATACAGCAAAATAGCATACATCATCAGTAAATGGTGAAAATAGGATATGCATATTCCATTCATTAACTTCCTTGGAACAAATTGACTCACAGAGTTTGACTTCTTGCTCTTTGCACCTGTAGGGGGGGCTCGCCTCAAGGCCAATAAAGACGGTTTCATAGATGGATGCAGTGCAGGAGATGGTGCAACCATCAACAGTGAAGCTACAGATTGTGACATCTTTTGTTTCTTGCGTGATCCTGATACTGTAGGACTAGGTAAAGGGTCACGAAAAGGCTGACTTGCACTAAGCATTCCAGGCTGGATCCCACCTGCCGTTCTCCATTCCCTAACAGTAATATTGAACATAGTTCCCATTAAAATGAAGATATGAGAAGAAGTCATTACATATTTAATAAAAGCTGCTCAGTAGAGCATGTCAAAGTATAGTCAGACCTTATCCTCCGGATCATGTCATCGGCATTAACCCTGGATAGAAGCTCTCTATGTTCCACATCTGACACTCTCAACTCCTTTCTGAGTTCAGTTATTAAACTTTCCTTCTCCTGAGAGGGAAAACACGTTAGGTTTAAATAGCTTTAAAACCTAATTGTCACAATCTTTATGGGATAAATTATTGACTTTTTTTTTGACAAATACCCAAGTTAAAGCATCTGATTGAGCTTTGAAGGCACGCAGGACTGAACTGTATGCTTCCTGTTCAATCAGATGGATTTGTGTTTCCATATCACCACCATGAATCCTGGGCAAAGGAGCAACTTCTGATCTCCTATTGCCCACAGAACCTACAACTGCTGATCTTCCATTGCCTGCAGCAGTGCGACCCCCTCTCTGAAACCTATTTTGCTGTGAAGAAGGAAGATCATCATCTGTTCCTGCAGTTGTTTCAGATCCGAAAAAATCCATTATCTGAGTTGAGCTTCTATGGTAGGGAAAAATTTATGCAAAGGTTTGCAGAACACCTCAAGACAACGTAGAAATTACAACATTTAGAAAGAGGGAACGGGTGCAAAAAAAAGGAGGCTCGAACATTTAGTGATTACAAGTTATTGAATAGCAATGGCTTATGAACTCTAAATATTCACTCAAATTAACCAAGGAAATCCACTTTACTTTTCCAACAATAAACCAATCTGAAAAAACCCAAGTCCTTTGAATCTCAAAATCATCAAGTACAAGGAGTAAAAACAAACTAAAACAAAACTTTCATCTCAACTCACCACTGCTATCAGAAAGCCCATAGTCCATGATAGCTCCTCAAAAATTCAATCTTCACTGAAATCTATGAAAATACTTATGAACCAATACAAGCACCAGAAGCAAGCTGCTAAGTTCTTGAGAAAGACAAGGTACAATTACCTGTAAACATAAAAATTCAACCAAGTCATAAGCCTCAATTTAGCTAACTATAAACTCATTATTCTAGTATTTGTTGGTACAATAATCAACAGTAATAAATTATCAAAATAAGCCCTAGCTGAACCCATGAACCTTAGCATATTTTTTATAATATTAAGCATGTAAATTACTCTTTATTGCTTCAACTAGATCAATAAAAAACAAAACAATGTGATAGTTCAGTGGTGTTTTACGAATGTGATTTAGGTTTTTTAGCTTAATGAATTTGCCTTAGTTAAACGCCATTTTGCTACTTGCATTTCGCTTCTATAAACACATTTGAATAAAAAAGCATAAAGTTAAAAAAAACGCAACTCTTTTTGAACAATAAAATGCAATTTTCCTACCCCCTACAAAAAAATGATTTCGAGAAAAATTCGTTAAAACAAAACCCTAATTCCAAAAGTAAGATCTTAACTAAAACAACATAATACAAAGATACGAGCTCACCTTGCTCGTTCAATCAGCTTCCAACAACGCTTTCTCCAAAACCTCTTCGAAAACCGAGAAAAAAATAGGTCAAAGAAGCTCGGAAGAAGTTAAATCCCAAGAAACGAATTCTTCCGATAAGCGGAGAATATTCATGTTTCAAAATTTCGAATTCTGCTTGAAACTTGAACAGCGATGGGAATCTGAGGAAATAAGGAGATGCTTCGGTATGGAGATTGGGGATAAAATTAGGTTTTAGAGTGAATTTTACTATTTTAGTGTGAAGAGATATGGTATTGGATTTGCACGAGAGAGTGTGTGTTTGAGGGGAAGTTCTAATGTGCGGCCGTTAAAAAAACGGTTAAAAAGGGGCGTAATTGATTAAATAATTGATCGATTAAAATTTATACCGATTATATTATATCATTTAATCGGAAATATTATCAAGTACAATAACATATTAGGTAGCGCTTATATAATAAAATAGGTATTTAATTAGAAATATTATTAAGTACAATAAAATATTATGTAGCGTTTATATAATGTAATATGTAGCGCTTATATAATATAATATGTAGTGTTTATATAATAAAATAGGCATTTAACTGAAAATATTATCAAGTACAATAACATATTAGGTAACACTTATATAATGTAAAAGATAACGCTTATATTTACATATTTTCTAGCTAAACATGTATATTTATACCGATAACATTGTAAAATTATTTATTACATTATAATTATCAGTTTCGATGTTTTTGGGATCAATACAATTTTAAATGTATTGACACTTTATGTGTGCACCTCATTGGGCATTCATTCTGAAAAAAAGTATCGACACAAACTTAAAACTTGTCGATACATTATGTAGACCTATTTTCTCATAAAAACTGTATATTTCTACTGGGTACATTGTAAATTTATCTATTACATTGTAATTATCGGTTTCGATGTTGTTGTGATCGATACTTTTAATAAATGTATCGACACTTTATGTGTGCACCTCGTTTGACATTCATTCTAGACAAAATGTATTGACACTTTTTAAAATTGTGTCGATACAAAATGTTGACATATTCTATCATAAAACCGGTATATTTATATCAGTTACATTGTAAATTTACCTATTACATTATAATTATCGGTTTTGATGTTTTTGGAGTCGATACTTTTAGAAAATGTATCGACGCATATGTTTACCTATTCTCTCATTAAACCGGTATATTTTACGTATTACTTTATAATAATTGGTTTCGATGTTTTGATGATCGATACTTACAATAAATGTATCGACACTGTTTTGGAAACTTTATGTTTGAGAACCATACTGGACAAAATGTTGGAATCAAATTTTTGTGTTTACTAATTTTGTCATTAAAAAAATATATTTTTACCAGTTTTGTTATTGTTGGGCATAACAAAACCGGTAAAAATTACCTAAAACATTATTATTTCTACCTAAAACATCCATGTTTTTTAACATTTCCGGTAAAATGTCAAACAATAACTAAACAGGTAAAATAATAACAAAACCGATAGCGCTTTTACCGGGTTTACCGGTTTTGTTAAGAAACCCGGTAAAATGCCAAAATAATAACAAAACCGGTAAAAATAATGATGTTTTTGATAATTTTTACCGGTTTTGTTATGCACAACAATAACAAAACCGATAGCGTTTTTACCGATTTTGTTAATAAACCCGATAAAATACCAAAATAATAATAAAACTTGTAGAAATAATGATGTTTTCGGTAATTTTTACCGGTTTTACTATGCACAACAATAACAAAACCAGTAGCGCTTTTATCAATTTAATTAAGAAACTCGGTAAAATGCCAAAATAATAACAAAACCGATAGAAATAATAATTTTTTTGATACAAAATCGATAATACTTTTACCGATTTTGTTAAGAAACCCGATAAAATGTCAAAATAATAACAAATAGATAAAAATATTAATGTTTTCGATACTTTTTACTGATTTTATTGTGTACAACAATCACAAAATCAGAATCACTTTTTTTTAACCGCATATTAAACGCCACACGTAAACATTTCCCATGTTTGAGAGGGGAAAGAAAGAATGCGGACTTGAAATATGTTATTATGGCGCAATTTTTTTAGTTTGAGTTCCGCTCCCTACGCCCATAATTCCATGTCATTTTGTTTAATTACATAGTCCAAACTCTACCCTCACAATTCTTTACTCTTTTGAGCTTATTTATTGATTCAGAAGAAAAAAAATTAATATTGATAGATCAATTATTTTTCTACTAAGAGTGGTTATGAAGGTGCATTACATAATGATAAGGGTTATGATAAGCTTAGCTTCATCTCTTATTAATGACGGATCTTAGCACACAACTTTGTAGAGTAATTAAATTTTTTAAGAATAAATTATAAAAAATTATTATTTAATTATCTTTTTACAATGATCTAAATAGAAGTACTGAAAAATGAGAGGAAAAACTTTCATTCGACATCGATATCAATACAAATAATGATCAGAATATGACGTACGATGACGATATCAACTTTAAATTTGTTGAGTTGGGATTATTTTTCAATTAAACAACCAACGTGGTGGTTGAATTTTATGTTGGTTTAGATCGAAAGGGAGTAAATGTGAAGAAGAATAAAAAAGAAGTGAGAGAAACGAATAAAAAAGTTTTTATATGGAATTAAATAATGACGTTTTAGATAGAATTTGATCTTATATAGGGATCCAAAATTATGTTGTTTTGGTGAAGGTTGCCATATCATGATGTCGATAATTATTTAACTATGAAATGATAAAAATAGGAACAATTCAATTAATTTTGTAATTTTAAAATTTTAATGATCAAAATGAAAGTCAAAGATAGTTGAAGGATGAAATTTGTATTTTTTAAAATAACAACTTGAAACAACGTAAACTTGTGATCGTCATCATATCCATATATTTACATAAGCTAACCTTTTTTGTCCCAAATTTGAAAGTTTCATATTTAAACTTTCATTCATCAATGTCATAACTTGTGATAGTAATAATTCGCAATTGTCATCATCACTATACATTTACAAAAATTAACCTTTTTAGTCACCAAATGTTAAAATTACTTATCCATACTTCAATTCATCGATGTAACAACTTGTAATTGTCATCAATACTATGCACTTACACATATTAACCTTTTTAGTAATCAAATGTCAAAATTACATATTTATACTTCCATCCATCAATTTAACAATTTGTAATAGCAAGAACTTGCAATTGTCATCATCACTATATTAGTGTATATTAACTATTTTTTTTTGATAAATTCTAAACCTAACTCTAATCCTACTTAAATGGTAGGAGAAGGAAGATCCTAGAGGAAGGAGAGGGAGTACTCTTAGTGGATATCTATACCTATGACCTAAAGAAATATTAGGGGGAAAATGAGCAACTTAGTCGGCTAGTCAAATGTGTTTGATCATGTTAATGATTTTCTTAAAAATTATATATATATATATATATATTTAAAAAAATCAAATATTTGAAGATGACTAATATCATTTTAAAAAATCTTAAAAGACTAAATGATAATTTTTCAAAACTTAAGAGCCCAATTATATTTTTAAAATTTCAAAGGATATAATGACAAATTTTCTAGAATTTCAGGGGCCAGTAGTTGTTGAGATCAAAGCAACTCAACGCTATAAGAGAATTCAGAGAGGAAGCGAGCTCTGATACCTGGTTTGTCCTCTGCAAATCTAACACATAGTTGAGCTATTTTTACTGTTTCGCATTTGATTTCTTCATTTGAGCTTTCTTTTCCGTTCCTTCATTAATAAATTAAGATAAGAGGTGAAAATTTGGCTTTTTGCTAAAGGTAAGGCTGTTGGTATTATCTTTTGTGTCCAATTCCCAACACACATTCAGTTTTCCTTAAACTCGTATCCAAGTGTATGACAAAATGCTTCTTTGAGATGTAAAGTAAAGTTAACTTGAATTTCTGGCATATTTTTTGTTTATTTTCTGTTCAATACTTCTTTTTCAACCTCATAAATTTCCCAATGTTCCGGTTGTTGCAGTTGCATACAAAAAATATAGACTTTAATTTGGAGTCATGCCTTTTAGGATGGTTTTTATAAAGTTCTAAACCAAATGATTAAAAAAAGGAGAGGAAAAGCTTTCATTCGGCCCTGGTCTCAACGCGAATGGTGACCAAAGCATGATGAACGATGTTGGTATCAAAGCTAGATTTATAGAGTTTATGTTGTTTTTCGATTAAATGGACAAAAGATTCGCGTTCAAAAGGGTGAGGCGAGTATGGTGAGATATTTTGAGACTCGTCGACCTCTGATGACAGTGGTCGACAGTGACCAGAATGGCGGCCAGCGCGAGACCGATTCTGGGTGGATTTAGGTCGAGAAAGAAAAAGGAAAGGAGGAATAAGAAAAAGAAAGAAGAAATGAGGCACTAGACTATTAACCCTTAACTTTACATTGTTTAAGAAAGTACTAAAGTAGAGCATTAAGCTTCATATTTTCTCCTTGGGTATTGCCACGTAGTTGTGGTTGGAAAACAGCGAGTTGGTAAACTTTTTTTTGACTATTATCATTTCAAGTTTTCAATGCTAATGTTATTTTCTGATCTGAATTTGGAGTTGGGTTTACTCATTTACTTTTGTATTTAAGATATTGTTTATTGTATATCTGGTTAAAAAAAGTATTTAACCAAAATATATAGACTATAGGATCGGCTCAATCCTTTTAGTAAAAGATTGGGCCCAGTTTAAGTGCAGGTCGGCTAAATCCTTGTAAGGCTAAGCTCTTTTGTGAATTAACAATAACTTAAACATTACATGTGAAGAATTGTCTTTGCAATGCCTTTTAGTATTAGATGCTTCGAGCAGTAGTAGGTTTATGATGTACCGGATAGTTGATATCATAAATGTGCTCATTGATGTTGTATTCCACAGGGAATGAGAGGTCCACTTAAACTTGAGGTGTGGAAAATGGGCTTTGTCAATTACTTGGATGCACTTAAGCTGCAGGAGAAGCTGGTATCTGATAGAAAATTATGTAGGATTCCTGATACTCTCTTGTCCCTGCAACATCCACCAACATATACACTTGGAAAACGACAAACTGATCACAATCTGCTAATTCCTGCGTCTGAATTGAAAAATATAGGAGCTGAGCTTCATTATACGCGAAGGGGAGGAGACATCACATTTCATGGTCCCCGTCAAGCCATCCTATATCCTATTATTTCACTTCGTGAAATTGGGCTTGGTGCCAGGAATTATGTGGTGAAACTTGAGTCGACTATGATTGAATTGTCATTCTTG